CGCCTACTCTCATGAGCTCTGGGTAGAGACCGAAAGGACGAGATCACAGATACAAGAGCTCGAAATGAGTTTCCTCCGCAGGGCGTCTGGGCGTCTCCCTTAGAGACAGAGTGAGGAGCTCAGTCACACGGGAGGAGCTCGGAGTAGAGCCGCTGCTCCTCCACGTCGAGAGGAACAGTTGAGGCTCGGCATCTGTTTCTGATGCCTCCTGGACGTGTCCCTCAGGAGGTGTTCATGTCCCACCGGGAGGAGGCCCCAGGGAAGACCCAGGACACACTGGAGGAACTATGTCTCTGGACTGGACTGGGAACACCTTCAGTCCCCCCGGAGGAGCTGGAGGAAGTGTCTGGGGTGAAGGAAGTCTGGGAGTCCCTGTTTAGACTGATGCCCCCACGACCCGGCCCCGGAAAAGCGGAAGAAAATGGATGGATGGACCCGCTGAAAAAACTGTTCGCTCTGTGCTAGGGATGGGCAGGATTAGTCGATTAATCAATAATTGATCATTAAGAATTTCATCGATTACGTTCATTTTAATCAACAAACCCAATGTAGTATCGTAATGTAGTAGTAATGTGTATCGTGACCAAACAGGTGTGTACACGTGTCTCTGCATCAGAAGGAGCGAGCAGCCTGCAACGAACTGAAGTGCAACGATGATTTGTAGAAGAAATTCCACACTTTCCGTTGCGTTGGGACAAGTGTGAGTCCATGTGCACAGTGGATAAAGCAGCACATATGTTTCTGTGTCCAGTGGGAAAAAGTTTTTCCAGGTGAGAGTCGCTCAATGTGGATGACGAGGCCCCGCCCCCCTCCCCCCGTACGCTGTCCTGGTTTTGACAAACACAAATCTGGTCACACTGACCTGTATTCACCTGAGTCATGTCTTTTAATCCAACACAAGTTGAACCACATCAGCGACACAAGAGCTGGAGTTTTATCTTCACTTAGTTTATGTAAATTAGTGATGTGGTTTTAAGTTTTGTTTCTGTGAGATTTGAACAAAACTGAATTAAACACATTATAATGTCAAACAGCTGATGTGGCTCTAGAGTCGTTATGTTTATATGTCGTAAAGTTGAATTTATTTATGCAGATTAGTGCAGATAGTAATAATAATGATGATCATTTTAATATAAAAATGTTAATGATTAATCGATAATCGACCGTTAATTCTTCCGACGATCGATTAAGAAAATTTCATCAAATGCACATGATGAGGAGCTCCTGTCGTACGGACGGTGAGTCTGTTCTGGGTGTTTTTCTCGTTAGAGTTGGTTCGTGTTAAACTTTACTGAGATTAAAATATGGGCCCAAAAAAAAGTTTGCGAAACACTGATTTAGAGACGCACACAAGCACAATATTTCTGCTTTATGTCAATTTTCTGGTACAAATCCATGACTTTTCCCTGGAATGTACCACAGTATGGCATTAAACTTGTTCATTATTTAATTATAGGTGTTTTTTTTTTGTTTGTTTGTTTTTTTACAATAAACCAATCCTTTGAAAAAACTGCATTCTACTTCCTGTAAGCGAGCCCACATCTCCACAAACCCGACCCGTAAACTGGCTCGGTGCTCATTTCCACGGAGATAAATAAGTTTAGTATCAAACTGAAAAATTCCACGCAAAGCAACAAAATCTCCATGGCAACAGAGCCTCCGCCCGGAAAGTTACACAGTGCAGTTTTAAATGACAAAGTAATAACAACCACAGCGCCGCAGTCACACGCGTCTGTCGTCTCTGGATTAGTGGGTCCGAGGAGCAGGGGCTGATGGGAAATGTAGTTCAAACACAAGTGGGTCAGAGGGGGCGGGGCCAGACTAATCAGATTAAGTACAGCTCCGTGTGGTCTGGGTTTAAGACCGTCCCAGAATCAGACCAAGACCAGGACTGACACTGTTCACACGTGTCCGGGTTTGATCCTGGGTCAGTCCTCGTGTGGTCTCGGTTTGGTCCAGTTCTAGTCCTGGTTTAGTCCCGGTTCTAGTCGAGGGTGTGGTACAGGCTTGGTCCGGTTTTATTCCAGGTTTTAGTCACAATTTTAGTCCCGGTTTCAGTCGCAGTTTAGTTCCGGTTTTATCCTCGTTTCGTCCCAGTTTTAGTCCCAGTTTTAGTCCCAGTTTTAGTCCCAGGTTTAGTCCCAGGTTTAGTCCCAGGTTTAGTCCCAGGTTTAGTCCAGGTTTAGTCCCAGGTTTAGTCCCAGGTTTAGTCCCAGGTTTAGTCCCGGTTTAGTCCCGGTTTAGTCCCGGTTTAGTCCCGGTTTAGTCCCAGGTTTAGTCCCAGGTTTAGTCCCAGGTTTAGTTTTAGTCCCAGGTTTAGTCCAGGTTTAGTCCAATTTTAGTCCAATTTTAGTCCAGGTTTAGTCCACAAGTTTAGTCCAGGTTTAGTCCAATTTTAGTCCAATTTTAGTCCAGGTTTAGTCCAGGTTTAGTCCAGGTTTAGTCCCAGTTTTAGTTCAGTTTTAGTCCCAGTTTTAGTCCCAGTTTTAGTCCCAGTTTT